TAAAATGGATTAAATAGAAGAAAATTTTCATCAGACTTAAGACAGCCGCTCAACTCATATAATAATTCCTTTTAACGAGTTTCAGAAGTAAATCAGGTTACTTACTCAACTCGCAAGATCATTTAACAAAGCGACCTCTCTGGATAAATAAACTCAAATTTTACCAATTACATTATTAGGCAAAATTATAATTCATCAATCAAAGCAGCTAAAAATCGTAACCGTTATTAATTAAACATAAAAACAAATTCGATTAGTTAGCACAAGCACCAGGGGTAAATGCGTGGAGAAAACACCCTCGTGATCATGCAAACGCCAAACAAAAAAAAGAAAAGTATTAAAGAGGATTCTATAACGTTAACCTAAAAAGCTACACGTAAGGAGTAACCAAAGAGCATTAAAATAAATCTGACAACGTCACCAGACTACTGAGCAATCTAATTATGATATGTCAATATAATGTAAAAATATGTAGCGATCCAAAAGATCGGTCTGCTTGCAATTAAAAGACTACAAGATTCACAACTGTTATGTGTCTGCCAATTACTGATTTAATATTTCACAAAGCATTTGAGGTGGGGAAAGTTAGAAAAGTCCAATTATATTTCACTTCAAGTTTCGACGGAAACGATCAAGGTAAAAACAGACTGTCTCCATGTATAGAAGTCCAATAGCAATATTAATGAACAAAAAGTGCTTTCCGACATACCTAAGATGAACGCCGAGACCGCGATGTCTGCCAGAGCATTCAAGACATATCCAGATACCATAAGTGACGCTGACCCATTGAGGATTAGGAGTGCCACACTCAAAGCAGAACTTTTAAAATGAAAGATAACGAAAATTTTAACATCTACACAAACATTTAAACCCTATTTAATATCACACTTGCGAATGAACATAAAATATTCCACGTCAAATTATATAGGTCAGGAAAAAATGATGCACAAAATATCCAACGTCAATTCATTCGAGATAAATAAATAAAATTACATAATAATCAACAAAATCTTACGTTGTTTTCATCCACTTGTCTTATCTCAGATAAAATATGTCGAGTCCTTGGACTGGCCATATTCCAAGCCACAGGCGCAGCAAAAGGGGCTTGTGTGACCTTGATAATTTTTAGTTTATTTATTAGAAACTACTGAAATGATGAATGTGGCAAAAAACATCCAGTGAGAATACTAAATATGTAATGTAACTTTTAATCAACTCCATTTTGATTCATTATATTATTGTTTCAAAATTTGATAAACATTTCAAAAATTGAAAAATTTTAAGTTACTACTGAAACATATCAGTATAATTTAAACTTTAATTTGAAAAGATGATAATTTTCAATTATGAATTTTTTGAGCAAAATAGGTATTTGAGTTTGAAAACATTTTTATGCCTAATAATTTGATATTCTTATTACTTGGGCTTATTGTGGACAACAAATTGCAATTATATTGAAAACATTTCCATCGTCACAATTATTAATAAATCACATGGGTTAAATATTACCGAGTCGTGTTTAAATTTAGCTGGCTCAACTAATTACATAAAATGAAAATCGCTTTTGTTTTTAGGTATCCATTAATTTTGATATTGCAATAAGAACCTGCCAATGGATTAATCGCTTAAACTTTAGATGAATCTCAGTCAGACATTTTTCTTCAAGAACATTTAAGTTTGCTCATATGTCGAATCTTTGTTTACTCCATAATCTTCACACCAAATACTTGATACCTCAATGTTTTTTTAAATCTCACACTCTGCTTGTGTGTTCACTCTGGTAATGGCCCTCATAAATCAATTCGTTGTTCACTTTTTATGCGTAATGTTTGCAAATAAAAGTATGTCGTGCCACATTACCACAGTTCATGTGCTCTATCCACTACGTGGCTGTATTACCCTTTGCAATGCATTAAAAATGCACATAAACTTATTTCTATTGGAAATAATTCATGTCTTTGTGGGACACGTCATCGCATGCCTGCACGCCAGGATTAGGAGGTGCGACCGTACAAGCAGTGACCAATCATTAACCTCTGTTTGTGCTACCGTACAAACAGTGATCAATCATTAACCTCTGTTTGTTTCCGTAAAAACAGTGACCAATCATTAACCTCTGTTTGTTTAACCTAATCCGCCATCCTGATTCGGTACACTTGATCCGCAATATACGTCCTGAATAAACGTGCCCCGTGCTACACGTCTGTTTCCTTTATAGCTGGGCTATAGCAACACGTCTGTTTCCTTTATAGCTGGGCTATAGCTTAGCTGAATTATACGTCTGTTTTCTTTATAGCTGGGCTATAGCTTAGCTAGTTCGGGAGTCTAGCTAGATGTAGGAGAATCTGCCAGAGATTTCTCGGGAGTCTAGCTAGATGTTGGAGAATCTGCCATAGAGACTTGATTTCTTTATAGCTGGGCTATAGCTTAGCTGGTTCTGGGAGATCCTTTCATAGCTGGGCTATAGCTTAGCTGGTTCTGGGAGTCTTTCATAGCTGGGCTATAGCTTAGCTGGTTCTGGGAGTCAGCCTATAGCTGGGCTATAGCTTAGCTTATTCTGGGAGTCTAGCGTAGCTGGGGTATAGCTTAGCTGGTTCTGGGAGTCTAGCTAGAGGTTGGAGAATTTGCCATCGAGATTTCTGAGTCAGTCAGGCTTTACTAAGGTGTTTAGCTGGTTCTGGGAGTCTAGCTAGATGTAGGAGGATCTCCCATTGAGATTTCTGAGTCAGTCAGGCTTTACTAGCGTAGCTTTACTACCGTAGCAATCCGCTACAAGTCCGTACGTACTTCCTTATCATTCAACAATAATTCAGAGTCTTGTTTTCAAGTCATAGAACCTATGCCAAACCGACCTTCGAAAATCGTAGGATGATCATATTTGCCTCGCCGTTTATCTCAGAATTGTCACCGTTTGTCAAAACTTATTGAAATTTCAACTCTGAATTTCCACTCAATCGATAGTTGCATTCTTTCATTAGCTGAACATTGAAACCAGCATTTATCTCAATAACTCGAAGAGTTACTGAGATATATATCAAACTCTCTCATTAAGTTTATTATAAACACCCATCAATATCTAATTTAGCAATCCCGGTTACGTTGAAATAACTTCACTGGTTCAATTTGCCCAGAGATTTTCCACTTTGCTTGGTCAACAATATTGATCTAAGTGTTTCCCATGTGAAGTTTAGGTGAGTTAAAAAGAAATGAGAAAGTTGATAAGGGTCCAAGTGCACTTCCTTTTACTGCAAATTGAACCAAAACTGGGCTAAGCTAGTGACTATGTCAACCAATAGGATGTTGCGAAAAGCAAAAATAATCACACCGACAAAGTTTCACAAATAATGAGCACACAAAAGTAGTATAAGTAAGAACGAATAAGATGTTGGCGAGATAGCGCATTTTCATAGAATACACTGAGAACAGACTTGTGCATATCGATTGATACTCTCGTCAGCCCTCCAACATAACTGTGCTGTGATTGATTTTAATGTTTTTGTTATCCCGTGTTTTATATTTCGCATAATATTGATTAAGTTACGACCACGAGAGCAAGCAAATTTCTTAAATGTGTGTACCTAATTGGAAAGCATATCAGTTACTTAGATCAACTATTGGCTTTTGCTACCTTATTACGGAATCCAAGAGAAAATTATCAAAGACCGTAATTATCGAAGTCCAGTACATGTGGTAATTGCAACCTTTAGGGATGTCCAAGATGATGGAGGTGTATAAAGAAGACGTCAATACCTTGACAAGCGAAGCAATGGCAGGCTCCAAGAGAACGGGAGAAGCCTTTGACTCCTTCGACAGCAATTCATTGAGTGAAAGTCTTTGCCATTTGCCTCGTACTAGGGTATTGCCCAAATAAGGTTTACATACTTTTTCAGTTCTATAGACCAGTTTAATTCTCACTCCCTTAATAAAACAATGCGATATTTTTCAGAGTTAACGTCTTGGAACCGGGATTTCATGAATATCTTGAATACCGTAATCGATAAAGGTGGCTTAATCTATAGGCCCAAATAAAGGTATGCATTTTGTAACTTAAAAGTCAACAAAACTAAAGATCTGAATATGCCCCTAAAACCCTCAGCAATTAGTAAAAGATTAAACAAATATATCGCCGTTCAATTAGTTTTATTATCAGTCAGCCACGTTTGAATTGAATGGGGGTTAAATTCGATTTCCCTTTTTCGGTCCAATCTTTTCTAGTGGAAGCCAGTTCGTCATTTTCATAATAATTGCGATTTCTGCGTTATTCTGCTAGATAAAGGCTCTCATGCGGATTCTATTTTATTTCTTATAGAACCTAAAATTGTTAGGGCACCTTCAACTCACTGTAAGAACGAATCCACTCACGGAAATTAGGAATGACTTGAGAGGTCGAAGGATTATCCAAAATTCTTTTAACCAATTCAAAATCAAAGATTAATTCGAAAAAAGGAGAGCAAAGATGGCACAAAGACAATGTTCAGTCATAAACACTGTTTACGAAACTTGCTTAGACAACCACGCATCCAATAGGCGAATACAAAAGAACCAAACTTCAAGAATGGAGCGACAGCAATCTCAATTGCAGCTATAACGATTGGCGGAAGTTGTGGCATATAGGGACAATGTGCATCATCTTGAGCTCGAGATACACCAGCTGTGTACCAAAGAAGCGCTCGACCCAGGGGTCCGAAGGCACAGTTGCGTCGACCAATGAGAATGTAGTGTACTGAACGTCCAGCTACGGAATCAGCTGTCTCAAGACCG